AATAGTATTTTCTTGTAAAACGGACTCCAATAATCTGTTTTATTTCAGTAAACATTTGTGTCCAAATATTGTTTGAAATTTTCTTTCGCTTTTGAGGTATTATGCATTTAAAATCTACTAATTTAAAGTAGTTCAAATGAATCGCGGAAATAAAGTTATGAACTCTAATGCTTTTTTTGCTAGTAAAGTTCAAAATAGAGGTTTTTAAAACACCTGTATTAACACTCATCATAATCATAAAGCTAGTCTAAAGATTGACTCATTATAGGAAACTTCATGGGCAAAATCATTTGTTTTGTAAATATTCCGTCTCCCAGCCTTCGCCGTAATGCATCTCAAAACCTGTCTGTTTTAAATATAGCCTAATGATTTAAAGGTGAAGGTAACAGGTGCACTTCAGCAAAATCAGTCCTGCGACTGGCCATGCTCATGCTTTAGCACACGCATTAATGTCACCAACTGTTTCTTTGAAAACGTTCTCATGTTGTGATGACTCGGATAACTGGATTTTCATCATCTCCTGCGCTTTTGTTGTGAAGGTCTTGCATGAACCTGATACTGTACCGCCGCTTGTGTTTGTGTGAATAAAGCATGCGTGTTTTTTGTTTTACCAGGGAAAGGGGGTCGAGGCTGGTCCTGACCAGGTAGTATGAAGACTGACTTGTTGTATGGGGTTACACCGGATGCTACCAGTGTTCATAAGGTTAAAGCAAACTCAAATGTCCAATGATTTTCCAGCCTGTATTGAAGCAAATCTCCTATACTGCCATCCCCGACAAACCATAAGATTTCTCAAATCGAAACCCCGGACACAGTTTTTCCCATTCGGAGCCCGTCTAAATAAGCCAACTCACTACTACTACCCCCCGGTTATATAGTCTAAACTCGCCACATTCTGGAACTGAAGTTCAGACTCTCAAGCATCCCCATACGTCAGATGTGTTTTGCACTTTTGTTCTTTTTCTTTTTTTACTCCTGCGTTTGAAGTGGCTCGGAGGAGCTTGATGCTGATGTATATTTTTGTGCTAACTACAATGTTGTTGTGGGAATGTCCATGTTAACCTAAAGCGCTTGGATTCGGATTGAGAACTTCTGCGGGTTTTTGGTGTAACCGCCTCGCGTGAACAAGTCAGGCATTCCAGGAACGTGGTTCTTTTCAGAACTTGTCTTTTTAAGGGTCGGTTAACTACCTCAGTAAAGAGGATTCAACTACCCTGCCTGTACTGTAAATAGGGACGCGTCGAAGCATAGGAGCAGGGCTTGTTTCTTATGAAATATGCACAAGGGCAGCAGATATTCTTAATGTAATGTAGTCAATCCGCTGCTGCTCTGACATTGCAAACAGTAAAACTGGGCATGCAAATGAAGCTCATGTGATGAGCTGGAACAAGCCCTGCTTTTATCCTCCTTTCAACTGAATTAGCTGCCTTGCTTCTTCAGATTATGTAGTTACTGGGTGTATGATAGTTTGGAATAAAATGTTACTTTTGTATTGGCTTAAACATCACAAATGCATCCGCTGCATTTTCTAAGCCCTGCAGTGTCCTTTTTTCTGCCGATGCTGGATGGCGAGCACCAGTCGAAGAGCAATGAATTATGTAGGTTTTATAATCAATCATGACTTTAGGCGAGCGAGCGATCGTTTGCAGGCGAGAGATGAACTGGTTTTTCTGGAAAAAGGGATACTGCAGCTTCAGTTTATATTCCATATATAGCAAGCAGGTGACCGAACCATTCAGCCGGTTTTGTACACAGTTAACTCCCTCTCGATAAAGCTGTAACATTGCAACCTTTTGAAAAGATGTGTGAGCAGTTTTAAACTATTGTTGGTGGCCAACAACGTTTTTGCATTCCAGCAAATAAATTGTTTTATACTGTAAAATGAGGTGAGTGTAACTTATTTTTGTAATAAAGGTTTTGAATTCTATCTTAAAACCTGTTCACTGTCGTAATCTTGTCGTCTGGAAAGATGCAAATGAAGGCGTTTTATGTGCTGCTGGTTTCTTTTTGTATACGTAAGTGGTGTGGGATTTTGTGTCGAGTGAAACTTGCCCACAAGTCTGTGTGAAACGAGGCTTGTACAAGTTTGTACAAACGGGGCTATTCTACGCTGATACAAAAAAAAATGGGTGAAAATTTGATGTCTTTAGGGCAAGTGCAAACCAAGGCATGAAAAGTAAATTGTAGAAATCAACAACAAATTTCAGCAAATAACAATTTCGTTAAGTGATAAAGTACCTACATGAGACTGTAAAAAATGAGTGAGAACTGGCCACAATGTGGCTGCAACAAACGATTGTTTTGATAATTGATTAATCGCCGATTATTTCACAGATCAGTAGTTTTTGTTCTATTATCCCGCTTTTACTGTTAGTTAAAATATTAAGTCACACATTCTAACTAAGAAATAAAACGAGGTAACCACTTCAGCTTTTGAAGATGTCAATTATATTACTATTGCACAATACAAATAAATTTGGCACACAAAATGAGATGAAAAAAGACATTCTCATTCACCATTTAACTGAATGAAGAAGTAGCTGACTGATGCATCAGTGTGCCTGATCTCCTGTTGTTGGACATATGGGTACGGAACAAAATAAAGGTAAGCGATAAGACATTTTATTTTTGGATAAATTATTTTATTCACAACGTTCACTCTATTAAAACACCTTGTAGCATTATAATAATTAAAACAGTCCTGAGCTAGATTAAAGGTGGGGTATGTATTTAAAAAAAAACGCTTTAGAAAACTGAGTCGGCCGAGTACCAAAACAAACTTGTAGCCAATCAGCAGTAAGGGGCGTGTCTACTCATGATGCAGAGGAGAGAGCGCTCAGTGCACAGCACAGGACGAACATTAGCCGAGCCGTGCAACAGGAAGATAGAGATGGTGGATAACAAACAAAAGAGGAAAACAACTGCGGAACAAAAGAAGGCTTAAGGCAAGAAGTAGGACCCGTGTAAATATCGGATCAGCTTTCCAGCGCTGGAGAGAACTCAAGGAGCGGAAGGCCTGCGATCGGACGCCGAGGTTGCTTTGTTTCTTCTCCATAGGTGAGTAACACCGTGTCTGCGCCGCAACAGCTAAAGTCTGTCTACACTGGACGCGACAAAGCGACCGCTGAAAATCATTTGAAATTTGTGTCAATAAGTCATGAATAGAACGCAGCAGCAGTTTTCTGTCGGGGATTTGTCGTGTCGCGCCGCATATAGTGTAGACAGCATCACTGATTATAATGAGTTCTATGGTATTTTGGCGTGTCGCACCACTCGCGTCCGGTGTAGACACGGTGTAACATTGGTTTTGCTTTGTTTCACAGAACTAATCATTGCCTGGGTTGCGTACATATGTGGGGTGGAGCTATCAAAATAGGGGCGAGACCCTTCTGTGGTAGGGGTGTGCTTGTTTTGGTGATTTGAAATATCAACATTGGCTACCAGAAATCACTTACCGCACCTTTAAGCTTTAATCTATGCAAACCAAACTATCACTTAAATGTAATATAACTGCTATGCATTCAAGAAATGAAAAGATAACTTTTATCCTATTGTTTCCCCAAGTGGCAAAATTCCCTCGTGGTATCGGGTGAGTTTACAGTATGGATATCGATGGACTTGCAGACAGAAAAACACTACAGGAATTTGTCATTTTACTTTAACCTATTTATTTTGTTCCATTTGTCATCACAAACTGGTTTGCTTTGTTACAAAACCTAACCTTTTGAAAAACCGTGCTCCAACTTAAGAGCCCTTGCTGTGAAAGAAGGCTAAAGTGAGTTATGGTTAAAATTAAATCAAAAATCAACTTAAAACAATTAACACAAAATATGTGCCAATAACAAACAAGACTGGATTTTAGGTTCACTGTCAACTGATGTCTTTATTTCGCCAAACGCAGACATACAAATCATGTTCAATTCATGCATTTCAAACTTATTGCAGAAGAGATTAAGCCCTGATTGAATCTCTCAGACCCCCAGGAGTTTCTTGGCCATATAGCCAGGCATACTGTAGAGGAACAGGGCCAGAATGGCAAGAAACATCAGCGCCAACACAATTTTGATGACCAGCCACTTGTACTGTTTGCAGATGAGATGGTGGATTGCCTTTAGCGGGCTAAGGAACCACAGGAATGTAATGTCGGGGCGGCTGGTGGGACAAAACCATTGAACAAGCTTTTAAAAATTGGGTTTTAATTAATCATGAACATGCACAAATTTAAAATGTGTCTCATTGATGACATGCAATTTTGGCAGGTTCAAGTGTGCAATGGTGCACATCAGTGCTCATAGATTCACGAAGTTTAGTCAACACTGCGTTGTTCTACTTGAGATTCAACACTAGAATTATAAGATAGCTGTTTATTTTCTGCTTACAAATGGATGGTAAATGGGCCTGTTTATTGTGAAATATTGAAGGACGGTAATCCACGATTGGGCTGGTTTTTTTAGAGTATAGGTGCAGAAAATTTTGGATTTTCATGAACTGTTAATAAATAAAATGCATGCAGTTTTCTTTATTGATTTATTAGTAGCATCCAAAGCACACAATAACATCTTTCAGTGAAGAAAAACGGAACTTCCACCAATCTGAAAACCCCAGAAGCGTATGCATTGATATAAAAATTTTATGTTAGCACTGGATATGCAGATAAATGAGACCACTACATGTTTTCAGATTTTGTATGTTATCTGAAACACAAAGAGCTAACGACTGACTGGATAACAGGTTTTCAGTGCTTAAAATGTGAAAAGCTGAAACACAATCTCCTGTCAGCGTTTGATGATCATCAATGACTTCATGTTCTCAGCAGGGCTTTGCTATTTAATAGTATGTTTATGATCATTCAGTTAAAGCAGGAATGATTTATTAATTTAACACAGATGAAAAACAATAAGTATGCATATGACTTCTCCAACAAACAAATAGATAACTTCAAAAAACAAGTGAAATAATATCGCAGAGATGCTGAATGTTGCAGGCATTGAGAAAGCTTTTCAAGCCCCTAGAAGCTTTTTCACCATGTAACCTGGCATACTGTACAGAAACAAGCCCAGCATCACTAATAACAACAGAACCACCACAATTTTGATGATTAGCCACTTGTAGTTGTTGCAGATTAGATAGCGGATTGCTTTGAGCGGACTGATGAACCACAGGAAGGTTGTGTCAGGACGGCTGGTGGGACAAAGAAAAACGTGTGGTAAAATCTGCGGCACAGCAGCGGGCGAATTTTAATTGTCAAAATCATTACGAATTGGGGATTTATTTTCAACTTATTCAGATGTGTGTACCGGGAGACATACTAATTATATGTGACCCTGGACCACAAAACCAGTCATGGGTATATTTGTAGAAATAGCCCAACCACACATGTGTATTAGTGTTCTCTTTGATCGTGGGAAATTTGAAGTGTGTGCGTCTTTCCACTCCGAAGATGGTAATAATTCCGGCGTAATAATCAATGAACTTTGCTGCCGTACCATGGGTGCCGCAGGCACAATGATATTACGCAGCGCCTGAAAATAGGCTAGCTTCCATCAACATAACCAACGTGACCACCTGCTTGCATTCCAGATTTTCAAATAGTTGTATCTCGAGCAAATATTGTCCGATCCTAATAAACCATTAATCAATGGAAAGCTTATTTATTCAGCTTTCATATTATGTATAAATCTTATTGTCATAAAATTGACCCTTATGACTGGTTTTGTGGTCCAGGGTCACATATTATTACAATGTCTGTGTGAATAGCATAACCAAATATAATGGTTTATGTCAGCACAGAAAGCTCTTCTTGAAACCACTCAATGCTCAACTCGATTTAAAGTGATTCAATAATTCTTTGAACGATTCTCTGATTCAAAATTTGAATTTCTTACAGTTGGAGAAGTTTTTTTATTTTATTTTTTAAGCTGAACAATTAACATTGTTATTATGCTCGTTTAGTGTTTTGATATCAAGGGTTGCCCAAAATTCATTGACCTTGTCCATTAGAAAAACCCCTATGGGTTCACCACTGATCTACTTTACACTTAAACAAGAACACATTAGCACTAACATTTTTCATCATTATATTGACTGCCTATACAAGTCTTCAGATAACTTACAAAACAAAAATGATTCAAATCTCAACATCTGAGAGATTCCATGTCTGTTCTGATCACAGGACACTTTTCACCAGATGTTTCCCAGACTCTTAGGTATGAACTGGTCTCCTTACCAGTTACTAAATTAAATTGGCAGCTACTTCTCAAGGTTTCTGGATAGTGGGTGAGGCAATGGTGAAATTATAATTATTAAGCAGGCTGATATTTGGGGTGAAACTATTTTCTTTAATAGAGAAAAACGAAGGAATATGGGAACTGGAAATTTTAAAGGAATATAATTAAATTTTGTTTTTTAAAAAGTACACATTAATGTAAGGCGGAGTATCATTCCTTTTCTGGGAGGTGCTACATCATGTCAGGAGAGATTTTGTTTAAACCTGTATTTTTGAAGAGTTTATTCGCAAAAACAGATAATTCTGTCTAAAGGATAACAAGAAGCTACCATCTATTTTATATGAAGCACTCTTTTAAAGAATTGGGTGATAAAATGTTTTCAGTATTCTAAATAAATGTTAATTAGATTTTTAAAAAGTGATTTAAAATGGTTAGTTCAATAAATTAATACTTTAATTTTTATACTTTAGTGAAAGTGAAAAATGGTTAGTGGCAAATGACTGAAGCCCTGAAGGTAGATGTAAAGACAAATGTTGCTCTTACTTGGGTTTCTCCAGAGGCTCTGGTTCATTGCGTCCTTCACCAACAGGACTCTTCTCGGCCTCCTCACCTGTCAGCAGGTGAAGCTCTGCTTCTACTTTCCCCTTAAGAGATTAAAGACATTGTTCAAACTATCAAAGCTGAACAGACAATGCTACAAGTGCACACTGATAGTTTAGGATGAGCCTTTTATTGTTAATAGATGTCAGATCATGCAAAAATGAAAATTCTGTAATTTAATTTGATTTTCTTCATAAAGGAAGATATTCTGATGAATGTTTAAAGCACTGTTGAAAGCGAAAGGTGCTTTTTTTTACTACCAAGCCCCAAAAAAGCATGGAAGTATGATTACAGTAGTCCATATGACATGCAGGAGGTCGCATGATCGTCATGTTTTAGCTGCTGTTCAGCATGTTGTGTATCATGTGACAGAGTTTAAAAATGCAGAAGTGTAAGATTTGAAATTTTAATGCTTGGCGGGGAGAATTTTCAGTGAATCATTTCATTTTGGTTTGGAAGAACAATAAATATTGGTGACACTTCAGTTTAAATTGATGTAGTTACACGTTAAATGTATCTTACTATAGTAATCTGAGTAAATTATGCATATTTACAGATAACCAACTCTAAACCAAACCTTAACCTAATTCTAATTTCATGTAGTTAAATAATATAGCTCGGTACTTACACTGTAGCACTACAAATGTGTAGCCTGAATATTGCACATATTGCAACAGTAGTCATATTTATATGTCAGCCATTGAAATTGCATTTAAATAGTCTTTGCACTAGTGTTGCTGTAATCACTTTCTGTAAATCTCCCTCCTCCTCCCCAGGACCACCTGTCTAGATACGCTTATGGGCGGTTTATGTTTGTCTGTTTGTGCAGCCGCAACTTAGATGCTCACGGCACGATTGTGTATATCTTATGCTGGTTTCCTTTCACGCTACATGACTGTTTAATGAAGTTGCTGTGGTTTGCACATTACATAACTAATTGGTGACTGGAGGTCACACAATATTTAACTTCGAAGAATCCCCGACTACTCTGTATCTGCCCTGCATCTTGCTCTCTCATTGGTTGTAGGTTGCCACCGATGTCAGTTCCAGTCAAAACACATTTCACACTGCAAGAGTCACAGCGGAGTCCAAATATTTAGCCTGCTAAATATTTTTTGGGGCTTTGGCAATGCATCAGCACTTCTCTCAGATTGTGCCTTTTAAACGTCATACTATGCGATCATCGCTTACGTGAACAAGCACTGATTTGCCTCTAATTTTGGGCTTTTGTCAGCGATCTACAGAAAGTGTTGGTGAGTGAAAATTGGGCATAAATTCATATGGTGCATACCCGGCAGCATGGTAAGTAGATTTATTTGTTTAGTCGCACAGTGCCACCTAGTGGTCAGGATGTATGAAACATTTATATTTTTGCTTATAACTTCTGAGTGGTTGGGCCAAAAATGACAAGACTGGTCTCTTTGGAGTTGAACTATACCTAATTTATCCCATGTCAGCCATTTTGGGCATTGACCATTTGGAATTTTGTCGCAAAAAATGCCATATTTTATGAATGCATTGGCTTATAATCACGAAACATCTCTATGTGTCATCGGCACCATGCCCTGAAGGTACTCGAAAAGTTTAGGGGCAGCGCCACCTTGTGATCAAAATTTATAATGACATTTAAAAAATGCTAATAGCTTTTGATTAACTTTGCCTATTGTCCTGAGACTGATCTTGATAGATACCTTGGATAATGTCGAGAATTGCAAATTTGTAACAACAAAAGGTATTAATTGTACATTATTAGTATATTGATGTGCAGGTCACTTACTGTAATTTCCAACTCATCATTTTCATCTCGGGCCACAAATGGCCACCAGCCTTTAATTCTCTTCTGTTTGAAGATGTTGACCATGGGCATGTCTTGCTCGTTAATCACCATGTCAATGGAGCACTGCTTCGCTGTCTTCGCACCACGAGGAAATCGATTCAGGTCTAGTTCAATTGCACCTGAAACAAAAACCAAACACACACGTGTCAGCATGAATGAAGGTCATTAAGACTGAGCCTGGATGTAAAATGACTTTACATCGTAAAAATACAACAGCACACCCAAGAAGTCGTCTGCAGAGAAGTGATCCGCATCCCACACTTGCAAATTCAGTCGCGCAGGAATTTTATACTCCGTCTCGTCCCAAGAAAACATGGACTCTTTCTTTGAGATGACGATTTTTTCTTCGGCCTGTAGGTAGTCGAAGGGGTAAACGAAGCGCCAGTTGAAATTGCCCTCTCCGGTCAGAGAGTGATAGTGGACGTCTGTGTCCTGCTTGTCTTCTTGTTGGCCTTTTAGCCATCTGTTGGTCACAAGTTACGTGAAAAGATATATCAAAATATACCTGTGCTACTTATGACTGCTTTTGTGCTCCAGGGTCACATATGTATTTGAGTCTCTTCTGTTCACCAATGCTGCATGTATTTGATCAAAAATACAGTAAAACAGTAATATTGTGAAATATTATTACATTTTAAAATGACTGTTACTCCAGTCTTCAGTGTCACATGATCCTTCAGAAATCATTCTAACTTGTAATAAAAATGTTGAGCAGCAAATCAACATATTAGAATAATTTATGTGACACTGAATTAATGATGCTGCAAATTCAGCTTTGATCACAGCAATCAATTACATTGTTACAATATATTCACATAGAAAACAATTATTTTAAATTGTAATAATAATTACACAATATTACAGATTTTTCAGTATTTTGGATCAAATGCATGCAGCATTTGCATGCAAAAAAAGATGTCTTTTAAAAACGTAACAAAAAATAAATACATTTTTTATATGTATGGCAGTACACTCAGCACTGGGTTGTATTTAACCCAGCATTTTTTAGAGTGTATATGTACTTATACAGTGCAGGGTAGATTTCTTACGAATTGTAGTCTGATTCCAAATTACATGATAAAAACTAGTCAGTAATGTAATCCACCGCATTACACATTTTTGGATATACTGTAATCAGACTACTGTTTGATTACTTTTGAACTAACTTGTTTATTACACTGATTTAAATGGGACAATCTTGTACCATATTAACAATATGAAGTGTTTTCATCAGTAGTTGATGCAATGTTGAAATGATGAGAAAACTGAATTGATTTTAGTAAATCCAGCATTCAGCTAATGCCACTGACAATAGCAAGACTATTATTATTCTGACTGACTTCAGCTCTCTCATGAATTCTCTCATCATAAACAACAAAGTGCAGATGTGCGTGCGATGTAAGTATAAGAGATTTATTCATCATACAGTGTAGATAGCTTCACAGATAATAACGGGAGTGTTTTTTAAAGTGCATAAACTCGCACCAGACTGAAGTCAGTTATGATGCTCTTTGGGAATGTAAATGTTCTTTGCTCGTTTTCTGTAGCTGCTTTCTGAATAACGGAGGAAATGCAAGCCTTGTAATGAGTAACTTAACAATGTTTCTATTAAACTGTTATCATGTTAAATACAACTTCAGTCATATTAAAAACAGTAGGCTTCTTTTAGCCTGATGCTGGAGTTTCACTTTCTGGCAATGAAACGAAGTAAATAAATTAGCATGATAATATAGTGTATCGGCGATCTGACGATAGACAACTCTAACCTGTACTTCATTTTTGAAATTTGATTATGTGATCAAGATTTGAATGAAAAAGATCCCATACCCTCTAACAAATATGTCACTGGATTTTTCCCCTGTGAAAATGTCATCGTCCTCCAGAACGACTTCGTCCGTGTTCCACACGATCACCCTGAGCTCAAATCTATCAATGACCAAAACATCGTCAGAATATAAAATATTCATCTGTATGTTGCTGAAGAATTTCACCAAGTGCTTCCTACTTCTTTGGCTTCCTTGGTGAAATATCGAGAGCGGGTCCAGGCGCAGGCATATCCTTCGGGAACATGTCCACCCACAACTCAATCCTTCCCTGCATCAGAAGAACTCACATTCATTAACGGCTCATTAACACCATTTCATTAGTTTCGGACATTATTCGTCTGATCGTGTGTATTTTAAAAGTACCTGTACTTAATTTTTGAAATCTGAATAGATCCAGATTACATGTAAACAGCTACTACCATATACAAATGATTTGAATGAAAAAGATCCCATACCCTCTAACAAATATGTCACTGGATTTTTCCCCTGTGAAAATGTCATCGTCCTCCAGAACGACTTCGTCCGTGTTCCACACGATCACCCTGAGCTCAAATCTATCAATGACCAAAACATCGTCAGAATATAAAATATTCATCTGTATGTTGCTGAAGAATTTCACCAAGTGCTTCCTACTTCTTTGGCTTCCTTGGTGAAATATCGAGAGCGGGTCCAGGCGCAGGCATATCCTTCGGGAACATGTCCACCCACAACTCAATCCTTCCCTGCATCAGAAGAACTCACATTCATTAACGGCTCATTAACACCATTTCATTAGTTTCGGACATTATTCCTGACCTGCTCCATCCCAGGTTTATCCGGATTCAGGAGAGGCCTCGTCTCCACGTGATCTGGGACGAGTTTGCAGCCGATCCTTGGCATATCTTCCCAGCGGTTTAGCACAGCAAGAGCCAGGTGCTCATCCGTCTGTTTCTTCAGTCCTGTCCGAAAAAAGCACGTGCATTTGTTTTTATGTGCTGCTTTCCAATGGGATCTCGTAACTCTGCAGTGAATGCATAATGCATATTTGATGCAATTAATGCAATAATGCCTTTCCAAATGCTTTTTGAAAATGTGCATACCATTTTCATCCTCAATTTCAGTCGGTCCCGTGTAAACTCTGTTCATCACTTTCACTCGTCCCCTGGGGCCGTACTGGGGTGGATCCATTTTTCCATCTTTGCAGAGTTTGGCAAGGATCTGCGTTGGCTTCATTGGGTCCCTCCACACATTATAGCCATGACTAAAGAAAAACGGTAAGAAACATGTTATCCCGCTAGTCCTGTTTGAAGCATTTAACAGCAATATTGCTACTTCTAGTTACTTCAGATCATGCCAGCATTTTTCAGTTTATAAAAATACTAATTATTAGTGTCATTTTAGTCACATGATTCTTTAGAAGTCTTTCTAATATGCTGATTTGCAGCTCAAGAAACATTTTATTACATATTATCAATGTTATAAACAGCTGTGCTGCTTCAAACTTTTAAATGGTTCTTTATGACAGTTTATGCAAAAATATTGACTAAAGAAAGTTAACATAAATTAGTACTTTTATTTAGCAAGGACATACTACATTGATTAAATGTGACAGTAAGTACATTTAGAATGTTAAAATTTCTTTGAAAAATGCTTTTTGGAAAATGTTACTTCTAGTTACCCCGGATCATGACATTTTTCCATTTGTAAAAATACTTACATTTATAAGATTTATTACAGTGTTATTTTGGTATCAATGAAATTCTATTTTAGTTTTTTATTAATATTTTAAATTCGTTTTTTATTTTTATTTTTGTTTTAGTCAATTGTGTGTTTTGCCATTTTATTCGTTTTTTTTTTAATATGTCTATTTTATTAATTTATATTTCAGTTGTAGTTATTTTAGGATGTTTTAGGACTAAATAAAAATGAGAAATGTTGAATTTAATTGTTTTTTTTTTAAAGATTTTTATATTTTCAGAATCAGAATCAGAATCAGAATGAGCTTTATTGCCAGGTATGTTTACACATACGAGGAGCAGAGTGTGAAAAATCCTTATTTGTCCGGGAGAGCAGAAGGAGTTCATCTGTTTTGTTGGGTAGAGAGCGGAGATTTGCCAGATGGATGTTAGGCAACGGCGTTCTGAATCCGCGCTGCAGAGAGCGGAGGTTCGCCAGATGGATGCTAGGCAACGGCGTCCTGAATCCACGCTGCCTGAGCTTCACGAGGGCGCCACCTCGCTTCCCCCGTCTGCGCATCCTGAAGCGCTTGATCAGCGCCGCAGCTCCCCCGATTACAATGTCCAGCAAAACATCAGAATAATCGAAAACCGGTGAAATATCGGGTGGTGTGTACTTCCGAAACTGATTGCAGGGATATAACTAAAGACCGGACAAACTAACAAAAACATAAAAACAACTGCGGAGCACGCCACGGAGGCAGCCATCAGCGTCGGCGCCATCTTAAAGATTTTATTTAATTTTATAACTAAAACTAAAACCATAAAACATTTAATTTCTTAAATAAACATTAACCTGAAAAAAGAAAAAAAGAAACAGCTTGTTCAGTTAGTTGCCAAGGCAAGGCTTTAACTTGAAATACTAAAATAACTAAAACTGAGAAAAAAAGAATACATAGTTACAAAACATAGTTAACCTAATAAAAATGACTGTAATGTGAGAGATTTTGTAATGTGTTTGAAAGAAGTGAGTATTACACACATTGCGTAGCTGGCACTGAGACCACAGGTTGGCCTGTGTTTGCTGTAGAAACGGTTCTCCAAAGTGCAGATAACATTTTATTAATTTTTTATCCCATGGGCGAAAACGGGCTTCCTTAGTTTTTTGAAAAGAACAAGCAACATTCAAAAGAAGTATTACAGGAACACAAAAAAATCTTACTTTTTTTTTTTTTAATTCTTAGTTTGAAGAAAATATCAGTCAATACTTCTAACATCAGTCAAAAAATTGACTAAATTTGGTAAATCTCCTGATCTTAAAAACCTAGTTTTGATTGAAATACTTTTGCTTACAGACTTAAATTTGTTGTATATACAACAATCCTGCCTATCGACATTGTTATTATCGCTAACTAAAATTAAAACTTTAAGTACTAAAATAACTACAACTGAAAAAAAAAATTAAAAATAGCTACTCTGAGCTCAAATAAAACATTAGTTTTGATTAGACTTGGTCACTACATAATTCCCATATTTCAGTTTGTGTTATTTTATACTTTCAGTGACATTACTATTAATCTAAAATGTATAAAACCGTAATTATAAAGCAAGAGTAGATTTGTCCAATTGAGAATATGGAGAAACAGCAAGTCAAACGCAAGAGAGAAGATGACGGCAAGCAATGAGTGACGACAAACCTTGAATTTGCCAATAAGTCTGTCTTCATCAGCTGCATTCTGCTCGACGTCAGCATCATCTGAACACTTGCCTCGATAAAGGTTAAAAGTGTGAAGCCAATCTTCAAAGGTGTTAAACTCATATTCAAGCTCTCTGCTGTACATCTGTGTAAGAAACAAGATTTCCCACATTATTTTACATCCACAAGGCATCCCATACGCTCTCCAAAGAGACACATGACGTAAAGTTTCATCTAGGCATTTCCTTTTGAAATGAACTTTTGCTGTAAAATGAATTTTTCACCCAACAATGAAAATGTGCTCGTCCTCGAGCCATCAAAGATGTAGATGAGTTTTGTAAAGGTGGTAGCCGCCCTAACACAAATAAACTATTTTAAAGAAAGTTTTCAGGTGCCAGACAGCATACATCTTGTTAAAATTAGCCCAGGATAGCCAGAAAAAGAAACCACCTGTTACAATTTTAATCACAAAAACAGTCAAAGGAAAACTCGGTTCACAAGGGATGATTTATTCTATAATGTCCATAAGAGAGAGAGAGAAAACAACTCTCTCAAGAGAGTTTTTCTCTGGAGTGGTGTGGATTATTGTGATGTTTTTATCAGCTGTTTGGACTCTCATTCTGACGGCACCCATTCACTGCAGAGGACCCACTAATGATGGAATGCTACATTTCTCCAAATCCGATGAAGAAATAAACTCATCCTGATCTTGGATGGCCTGAGGATCTAATGTTTTGGGTCAACTATTCCTTTAAATTCCTAACTAAAAAAATGTACCTTCAGCTCTTCAATTGTGTGCTTCTTCTTCTCTGGTACTCCTTGCCCAGGCATGGCTTTGTTCTTGTTTCCTTTTCCTCTCCTTTTCTTGGTCCCTTTCATATCAGAGGCATTTAGGAGCATATTTGGTAATCAGGGCAAAGAATCAAGGGTATACAAACTTCTGAACGGGATTGTTAATGTACTTTCAATTATTTTGGAATTTGAGGATTATATGTAAACATCCAAATCCGATGAAGAAATAAACTCATCCTGATCTTGGATGGCCTGAGGATCTAATGTTTTGGGTCAACTATTCCTTTAAATTCCTAACTAAAAAAATTTACCTTCAGCTCTTCAATTGTGTGCTTCTTCTTCTCTGGTACTCCTTGCCCAGGCATGGCTTTGTTCTTGTTTCCTTTTCCTCTCCTTTTCTTGGTCCCTTTCATATCAGAGGCATTTAGGAGCATATTTGGTAATCAGGGCAAAGAATCAAGGGTATACAAACTTCTGAACGGGATTGTTAATGTACTTTCAATTATTTTGGAATTTGAGGATTATATGTAAACATCTGTCAAATAGCTTTGTTTGGGCAGTAATAATAATAATAATAATAAAAAAAGATTTAAATTCTTCCATAGAAATTCATGTAGATATACTGCTTTACATAATGACTGTCTTATGCATTTAATTATATACGTATATCATATGCTAATATCAAAGTCCCTTAGAAGGCAAGTTGTTTCATATTACAAATGCACTTGCGCATCTATATTTAGTTGTCTATCTGATTAAGCATTTGCATATTTTACGAAAGTTAAAAGTTACACTAAATTTTGTCAAACATATTGTTGACTTACCCTCTCCAGAGTCAAAGTCTTCCTTTTCTTCAGCGTCTGCCTCGTGCGCTTTAATGGTCTAAATCGTTCATAAATAGTATAATAAAATCTTCTCGGTTCAAAAAACGGAACCATGCATTTTCAAGGCATCTTCTGGTGCGTGTAAAATAATTGCACTCTTCTATAGCTCTTACCTCTTTCAGTGTTTCAATCGAGGCAAAGTATTTGGACCACCAGTCCAGCATGCTTTCATCCAGCTCCTCCTCTTCCACCTCTTCACCCTTCTTCCGCTTCTTTTTCCCTTTCCCACCTTTCTCATCATCTGGCTGTCACAATGTTGAGGACACAGAATTCATTTTCACACATAAAACTAATGAATTTATGAATGCCAAAGTTATAAATGTTATAGGCATTGAACATAATAAGAAAGAAACAGATCTGACATCTGTCTACATACCATATCGACCTTAACCACAGCATCAGACGCCTGAAACAGATTCAGTCAAATGAGCAAGTTCAGAAAACCTGACAAAATTATGTCAATTACGCCTAAATGTTTGACTGATATAGTTAATAGACATATTTCAATTATTATTTTGTAGTGTTTCCTACTGAGTCGAGTTTGACCACTGTCTCGGTCTTCTTCACAGCTGGTTCTGGCTCTGTGTGGATCACAACCTCCTCTGTAGAGGAAAAAACATGTTAGTCATGCCTAGTATAGGTGAGAATAAAGAAATATATACATTATTTACAACTTTTGTTAACAACAGTTGTGCTGATTCATATTTTTGTGGATTCATTTAATTTTTTTGAAGATTCCTTGATGAATAAAAAAGTTAAAAAGAACAACATTTATTTGAAATAGAAACCTTTTGTAACACTATAAATGTTTTACTGTAATTTCTGATCAATTTAATGCATACTTGATGAAAAAAAAAACTTACATACTCCAAACTTTTGAAAAGTAGTATATCAGTTTCCACAAAAACTTTGATAATAATGAGAAATATTTATCGAGCAGCAAATCAGCATATTAGAATGATTTGTGAAGATCATGAGACACTGAAGACTGGAGTAATGATGCTGAAAATTCAGCTTTGATCACATTCACATAGAAAAAATATATTTTAAATGGTAACAATATATCAAAATTTTTGATCAAATAAATGCAGCATTGGTGAGAGACTTCTTTCAAACACATTACAAAAACTTCTGCAGTCCAAATTATCGGTTGTTGTGGATTGCACAAGTCATGAACTAAGTTCAAATACAGAGTTCTGGCATGAAACTCTAGATGGCGCAAGCCGATAGGTCCAACTTAATCTGACCTAATGACATCATTATCACATGTCACAGCTGATTGGTTCTTTCCTGTATCGGTAGCCAACGAGCTCGCTGCTCAACATTCAAATATATGATTATTGCTTACTGTAGCAGTTTGCAGCGTGCTTCAGAAACAGCGAAATCAACATTTAAGATAAGTGAATACTCTTCTAATCCATATCGCCGTGTGTATTGCGTGGTCTGCCTAATTGAATTCAAAAGTGAGCAACCATAATCAAGTTAAACTAAGTGTCATGTTAGCAGTTTGCAGCATTTAGCATCTTTGTTTATACAGCTGGAGCAAAATGCAGTTTAGAGCATATGTAATCGCTCTGAGGACACGCCGATAGTAACAGACATGAAATTAGATAAGCATTCTTGTGTATGCATTTCAACGGGGGTTCGCCATGTACATCGGTGATTATCCCAGTGTTCACGTTCGTTATTTCTAAGGTCGATGTTTTCATTGTGATGAGTGTGTGGTTGATTTCAGCTGCGCAGGGTCAGAAGCATGCGTTTATCGCAGTCATATCAACTGTTGCGGGAGACGCTGAAGATCACTATCTACGGCTGTAACGTCTCGGTTACGTATGGTAACCCTCGTTCCCTGAATTGCTGCTCAATATTCAAATACCTGGCTTTTGTTTGCTGTAGCAGTTGGTAGCGCACTTCAGAGCAGCCTAAAGCAACATCTAAGATAAGTGAATGCTCTTTTAATCCATATCGCTGTGTATATTTGTGTGGTCTGCCTAATTGAATAAAAAATGAGCAACCGTAAACAATTTTAAACTAAGTGTCATGTTAGCAGTTTGCATTGTTATGCAGCAGCGAAATATTAAGCATATTAGCAGCAGCATTTAGCATCTGTGTTTATACAGCTGGAGCAAAAGGCAGTTTAGAGCTTGTAATTGCTCTGAGGACACATTAATAGTAACGAATATGAAAACCGGTTAAATGAAATAAGCATTCTTGTGTATGCATTTCAACTGGGGTTCTCCATATACAGTACATCGGTGTAATCTCACTGTTCACGTTTGTAATTTCTAAGGTCGATGTTTTCATCGTGATGAGTGTGTGGTTGATTTCAGTTGCACGCAGCGCCAGAAGCACGCGCTTATCACAGTCATATCAACGATAGTGTTGCGGGAGAAGGGAATTAAGAGTTATCGCTATGGTTGTTGCAGTTCTGAGTGAAATGCATTATGGGTAGTGTAGTTCAGAGAAATGTGTTCGTGTGACGTGTGCTCTTGCTGTGCTGTGTAGTTCAGAAACGGAGAGAAAACTGATAGTCTGCTTTTATTTCTGTTCATTCAGGTCAGTCCACCCAGGGGTTTTTGTGCACTGTAACTCTGACAACTTTATCTGCACGAGAGAGTAAAATGGCATGCATCGGCTAACTTTGTCCATCTTATCATTGCACGAACATGAATTAACAAGCTGTTACGCTGCCGTTGGGACTGATGAAGTGGAGAAAGTAACAGCAGTTATCAAATGACTAAATTATGATATTTGCTCAGGTGGGTGCTGGGGTTCTATCGGATTGCAACGCATATCCATTTTGTTAATTAAACATTACACAGTGCGCGTCTAATTAGAGTTAAGCCGGTCGGCGTGGTAGCCCAGGCACACATAGATAGTAAGACAGGCGGTTCACATGGCTCTTCGGAGCAGCAGCAGTACATACTGTATGTTTTGGCGATAGATCTGCTTATTGGGGAGTGTTTTGTTCTTGTTTTGGCTTGTATTGTCCCTTCTATGTCTCCGGCTTTGTGGGGGGTTATTTCATGTATGTTATATTTTGCAGCAGCAATATTTCTTACATGCTCACAGCAGCATGTTGTGGATGTATTGGCAGTAGCAAGTCTCGGTACTTGCTCTGCCGCAGCAGCAGCAGTGTAGCAGATATATTCCGCCAAGACCAAATACATTAACATTGTCATCTACATTACCATGCCAATCCCTCCGAGAGTTGTCATGACAGAAATATATATTTTTTCCCATTTCCATTATTAAAAATAAATAAATAAATAAATAAAAATGTATTATTGTTGTTGTTCTTGTTATTATTTAAATTATCTCAGATGATAGCTACATCTATGCTATGGATTCTATAAGACAATCATTTAAAGCTTATCAACTAAAGATACATATTGAACAGCTTTTATCTCTGGATACACACCCATGGCAGACCAGTTATTGACACTCTTATCCGATGGCCTGTAAATGAACTTGCGTAGAGTTGTGACGGCATTAGAGCCAACTAGTGTGTAACGACCAAACGCCCGGCAGTCCACCACACGGATGTTCAGAGGAGGATGGAGGAGCTCGTTTTCTGGCAGGTCCTGGTGAAAAATCATGAACATTGTCAAATGTTTGTAGTGCAATCAACATCATTTTGAAAATATCTCATACTTTCTGAGTTATAAACGTGCAAAAACTCACCACTTCAAACCACTTCACCAGAGTGCTGAAGTTGGGGTTTTTCTTGTAGTTCTGAATCAGCGCTGACTGAACACCTTTCCCTGCACACTCGATGTCCACACGGGGACGGTCAACTTGAGCCAGATTCACTCGCTTCAGGTCCCTCAGGCCCCAGAAAAGAACCTGCATGCATGTTTAGTTAATTTAATGAGATTCAATTAGATTTTTTTCCCTGGCATACAGAGGAAAAAACTCTTTGGTTCTGCACAAATCACATAGGGTAAATGACATATGTTGGATTCAAAACAGCAAAATTCACCAAATGGTGACAACTTTGGGGCGCTGTTAATTTTGTACCTACAATAATTGTGGAACTTACTTATCAAATATAAAAAAAATTGTATTTTTGTTTTTAGAAGTTCCATTTAACATCCATTTGATGCAAATTGTGATCTCCCAGGCCCCACTATGGACAAAATAATTTTTTAACTTTTTTGTGTGTGTGTGTGTGTGTGTGTGTGTGTGTGCTCTCTTATGATGGTTGCGTACCTCTCTACAATACCATTTTAAAATGTACAAGAAATGTAAAAATATTAATAAAAAGCATTGGGTGAGGGGATTGCAATATAAGGATAATTTTGGTTCCCCACAAAACCTTTCACTCAACAGCTCTTATAACAACCTTTTTTTTTCTTAGTGTGAAGAACATTGTAATAATCTGAAGAGCCCTTTTCCACTATGAATAACCTTTTGTGAAATGGAGATGTTCCATGGAAATTAAGGCTTCTTCATGAAACCATTGCTGGCAATAAAGAACCATGATATTTAAGACTAGGTCAGCAATAGATTCTAGGTCACCCTGTAGCTGTTCTACTACGAGCAACTCACCTCAATTCGGTATTTACTCAAGACAGGTCTTATGCCAATAGGAACAGGCAGAATTGGACCACGATCGATATCGGAAGGTCCATCTATTGGGGGCAGGTCGGCCTTTCCAGCTGGTCCAATCTGAAAGATTTCCACAATACATAAGTATATATGCACACAGACAGACTAAGATTTAAACAGTTTCTTGTTCCTGTCAGATGCACCTGCAGCAGCTCAAAGGCCGCCAGCATTTCTCCTGCAGTGCAGTTTCCCCGGTAGATCTGGTAATACTCTAGTTGAGGAGGGAAGCGTGGCGGCCCATAATGCTCGTCTGACATCTTGGTTATAGGTTTTGCGAATGTCCTACCCATGAAATCAGCTTTTCCCTTGAGAAGTAGAATGAGATTGGAAATTAACTGCATTTAAGAAGGTGAAAGCATGAAAAGCAGAAGGAAATGAATAATTCGAAGGATATCAGCACTCACGACAGTGTCCTGATCATAGATCTCAATGACGATTATAGGAGGATCATCTCTCAGTTCACCAGCCTCACCATAGAGCTCCACATTATCAAACACCAGCAGCTGATCCCATGTAGGACACAACGTCTCATTCAGGACCTGAGAAGAAATCATCAGGTATTAAGCCTTCCTTCTAGCTTCTTTATGCAGTAGATATTAGGTGGCGTTGTACTACATCACATCTCAACAGTTCAATGCTCCACCGCTCAATAAGTAAAGCAGCACCAAACAGTTCAAGCCTATCAAGTGTTATTGTATGTCCAAAAGAAGACTTTTGTCTGGGCTGGTTGTGGCCTGATGGTGCTGACAAAAAGGTTTCGAGGTTTTGCATCATTAGAATTGAATTGAGACTCTATATTCCACTTCAATTCCTGAATATGAAATGAATGTGAGGTGATGTAAACCTGATGTAGAAATTTAATTCAAATGTCAATTTAAGTGTGTAAAATTAATTAATATGCTCAAATTCAAGTGTAATTTTTAATCATTAATTTTATCATATGAAATTAAATTATGTTTTTGTAGCAAACAGGATGTGGAATTGTAATGTAAAGAAATTATTAAATTAAATAAATGCATATGCATATAAATTCACATAATTCAAATTCAACTTTTTAACAGTATTTTTTGATAATAATAATAATTGTATCATATAATATTAAATCATATTAAAATAAAAAAAATATTACTATAAATTTTATTTTCAGATTTAATTATCTTAAATATAACTATATTAATAATCATCATGTTTGAAATGCCACCTATAAATATTCAATAAATGAACTTTCATTGGTTGAAGAATACTTGATTTCACAGAATGCTCTGATTTATTCAGTAAAATATAAGAGTAATGTATTCATATATCATATAACATGAATACATTCATGTTTTGTCTTTAATATTTATTTTGATAAAGTTTAATTATGACATATTTTACATAAATATTAAGAAACATGGAGAAATATGCGCAAGAAGTATAACAAGTCTTTCAAAATTTGGTTCTGATTTGTTCATATGCTTAAATGTGCTTATTACATTCAAATGTCAATAGTACGTTTGCATGAAGCTTTTATCTCACCTCTGTGACCTGGCTGTGGGTGGAAAAAAATACCCTGGCAAAAGGGTCTGACAGGCCTGTGCTGTCAGCCGCAAACAGACTGCGAGCCTGATACATGTGAACCCTCAGCTGGAAGATCTGCTTCACTGTTAGCATACAATAAAACAAAAGATTCTTAATATCATGATTATTACACAGACAATCTGGGGCCACTCATATAAGTTCTTGGGAATCTTACTTGTGTACATCAGGCTTATAGGGGGTGAAGACTGTATGCCAGGCCCTTTTACTGCCTTGTTCTCCTCAAACCCATTTGGCAGGCCGCTCAAGTAGTCCTTACGCTGCCTGTTCAAGCCGAGCCACAGATACAGCTCAGTTTTAGCCTGAACGGTCCAGCCTGCAGGTCCAAAGCTTTTCTTACCAGGGAGCTAAAAAGAGAAGAAAAGTCGTAAAAGAAAGTAAATTAGCACTTGTTTGAGTTCGGGAAGCGCTCTTTCGCTGGAAGATCCTTCTACAGCACATTCAGCTGTGTTCCGCTGGCTGTTAGCACAGATAAGTGCTGTGATTCCCCTGGGCACTTCAGCATGAAAGAGCAGTTTCTCTAAGAGAGCAACACGGACTAGAGTGTCTTTTTAAAGATTTCTCTTCGTCCGTGCATTTCTGGATGCGGTCTTTTACTTACTCCCTCTAACGATCACAATCGTCTGGGCCATAAGCATGCTGAGACAGCGTTCATGGATGCTTCATATCCTCATTGTAAGAGCATGACCCTGTCTCAACACTGAAATCTTGGCTCTTACTTCTTGTGGTGAAGGAACCCCACTTTGCTCCTAGTGTCCAGGATGCAGAGCTCCAGAGACTCACACATATTGTGCAGGGGTTTTCTGGTTACAGAATCCCAATGACTTACTTGCCCCTTCCCTTTAAATACCCAGACCAGAACAAATACATCTTTATATCTAAGTTGTAAAACAGAAGACCTTTTGGTTGGTCAGGATCCTGTGGATACCAAACATGGTGGTCCTAGCATTTCAATGACCAGATGTCAATTGCGGCCACAGAGGAGGGGCCAGAGTCCACAGAGGATGGTTGCAAAGTCAAAGTCCGATTCCGAGTTGACGTGTCTAGGCAAACACGAAAATCAGGCTTGAGTGGAAGTCTCCACCAAACCTGGAGTGTTCACAGCTGGATGATTGGTTTCTGGGTGCGGGATGTGAAACTTAGCCATGCTCCGTCTGAGTGCAATTCTTCTTGGAGTTGCATGAGGAGGTCACGAAGCCTTGGAAGGCATCTTTTACTGCCAGAAGCCACTTTGCTGCCTCCTCCTCCCTCACTACCCTCAATGGCAGGGCCATCGAGGGTTACATGGAGATCTCCTAGGCAGAGCGTGTGATTTGCAGTGCTTTTATGCCCGCAAAGTGCAGCCACCTGGGCTGCGTTTCCCAATAACACTGTCTCTTAGCACGCTACGAAGATTCTAAAGGTATGACTTAACTAAAGGTGTACCATTTCTAGGCATGTTCCCCGAACTATACCTTAGGAGGTTGTTTAAGATATACCTTCTTAAGTGCAACGCTACGAGGTGCTGTCCATGGCGGTGTTACTGAATTGGTTGATATCAATGGCTCGAGAACCGATTATTCATTATATGCACGGGCTGCTTCACTGCGTTATGAGAAAGCGGTGTTCTTTATAAAGGAAATGTTGATTTTAAATAAAGACACAAAACTCTTTCCTGTTAGAATGCAACAAACTTGCGAGAAACTTTTACTTTCACTTTGCAAAATACATCACGTCAGGGAAGAAAACCAAGGAAGAAAAATATATGCCCAGAGCACCTCCCAGTGGTCACCACATAAATTACAAGGGAAAGAAACTACATGACACACTGCTCAATAATTTAACAGCTTTTAACAAAAGAAAAAAATATATATACACACAATTCCAGCAGAAAAACATTCTGGTAAGAGTGCTTTCCAACAAGAAGCACTTCAGAAATAGCTGAAATTGCATTTATCAGGACTCATGGGATCTTATGAAAATAATCCAAATGACAAACTACATCCAACCCTGAATATCTTACAGAATTTTGTAATGACTGTGCAAACATGTGGCCTCAGGCCTCAACTACAAGGGAAAGAAACTACATGACACACTGCTCAATAATTTAACAGCTTTTAACAAAAGAAAAAAATATATATACACACAATTCCAGCAGAAAAACATTCTGGTAAGAGTGCTTTCCAACAAGAAGCACTTCAGAAATAGTTGAAATTGCATTTATCAGGACTCATGGGATCTTATGAAAATAATTCAAATGACAAACTACATCCAACCCTGAATATCTTATAGAATTTTGTAATGACTGTGCAAACATGTGACCTCAGGCCTCAACCTGCTACACTGGCAGTATGCCTTCACTACCCTTTGAAAGGGTCATTTATATTATCATAATATATTTGCCATAGTGTCTTCATTTACTCCACAACCAAGGTTGATTGTGCAGCAGCTGTATCACATTTTTGGTGTAAATCACTAATTTCTGTAATTGGATGACCTACTCAATAAAAGCACAACACACAAAACATATAATCAACAGCTACTATGGCAGACAAAAAAGAAAGAAAGAGAAGAGCCCCCAGCTTCACTCCAACCGAAATGGCCTTTCTATTGGATGAATTGGCACACCACAAAGATAAACTTTTTTCAAGGTTTCGGACAACAGTGTCCAACAAAACAAAAAAAGATCTCTGGGAAAGCATAGCCATGAAAATGGCAGCATCAAGTTCCAGTCCACAGAAAGAGTGGGAAGTTGTGCGTAAAAAGTGGCATGATTTTGCTAGTGCAGCCAAAGTGAGAGGTGCTGCAGTCCGGAGAGACCAGGCAAGAACAGGTGGTGGGCCCAGCTCTGTGCCTGCACTCACCCCAGATGAGGAAAAGGCCCTGGCAATCCTTGGAGAAGCGGCCTCACAGGGTATCTTGGGGGGTATAGATCTGAGAGCAGGTGTGGACACCAATCCATGCTCTCAGAGCACACCATCCTTGATTCCTTGCACCCCCATGCAGCAGTGGCAGGGCTTCTCCAGCACCGGCATCACCACACCTGTCTGCACCTTCATTGGCCTCCACTCAGGTCATCCAGCACCAGCAATCCAGGAGTGGCTCCAGAAGGCATCCTTCTATCCGATGTAACTGTAGTGAAGAGCTGGTGGAGCTTAAAAAGGAGAAGCTGGACGTGCTGCGGGGGATCGAGTAGGGGTTACAAGAGGCCAACAACCTTGCCCGGTCCATGCTGGAGGTGAAGAAGGTGAAGCTCCAGATTCTGGAAAAGCAGTATGCGTTGTCTGAAGCTAAATTTCAAAGGCCAACCATTTCAGTTCCAATCATAATGCCAGGTCAAGGTAAGCTTGATTATGATGCTCAGTACAGTCCAATGTTGTATGTTATCTTTTTATTCAAACAATTTGATTACATTACAGATTAACTATCACCAACCCAGTGACTGCGGGTTCCAGGAAAACAGACCTTTCATGTTTATTTTCAATTATGTGGAGTGTTTTTGTTTGAATAAACACTAATTTGATTAAACACAAACTATTATTTTAATGAACAAAGTGTAGAATCCTAACAATGTCATGAACTAAATTTCTTATGGTGACTTCCATGATGAGGTATGTGTATTCTAAAGCCACCTGGAAAACTAATGTACCTTTTGACTTATAAATTTAGATGTGTTACAATTGCAGTGGGGACTGATGTAAACACTAAACTCGGCAGTGCACAACTGCAACAAAAAATGGCAGGGACATGTCCACAAAAAGGGGGAATGTTGTGTAGTGATGTAAAAAGAAAAATAGGGTGCAAAATATACTTTAACCAAAAATGGAGTGAATTAATTGCTGCCTCATTTGTACACCAGCAGCATGTATGGCATCTCTTAGTTCAGGTGGGTTGTGGACACCTTCTTCCTCCTCTTCTGGCAAAGCTGCACCTCCACTGACTGCAATGTTGTGTAGCATGGCTGTAACTACTGCTACTGCACAACATTTTTCTGGCTTCAGACACAAACCTCCAGCTGATTTATGCAGGCACCAGAAATGGCTCTTCTAGCGCCCAATCGAGCGCTCCACCAAGTTGCGGGTATGGATGTGTGCATTGTTGTAATTGTGCTCAGCCTGCATGGTGGGGTTGGTGACTGGATCTAAAAGATAGGTTCTTAGAGGGTAGTCGCTGTCTCCAAAAAAAAGAGCAGCGCAGTTTTTGCAACAAAAAACGACAAATGAAGGCCTGGTCGAGTGCTGATGGGTTGGTGATGGGGATAAGTGTCCCGTCCACAAGGCCTGTTACTTGCGGAATACTGGCAATGGCATGGAAGCCTAGATGCGCCTCCATCACTTTGTGCCTGGTGGAAAGCATCCGGATATAATCAGTGGCGTGATGGAGCAGGATGTTTGTGACTGAGTGAACACATCGCCACACCGAGGTCTTACTCAGCCCATATCCATCCCCAACCCTTTAGAAAACTCCCCACTGCATAAAAATGGAGCGCCGCCAGAAGCTGAATTTCGGGGCTGAGGGGGTAGCTCCGTTGAGTTTGTCTTGACAAAATCGGATGAACAAGATCTAAAAGCTGTCAAGCTTTTATACATTATCTACATTACTTCACAATATATACATTAAACCATCCTTTAATAACAGCTTCTATCATCACATTGTGACAGATTCATAAAGCAATTTGTGCTAAAATGTACTGCAAAAACTGTTCAGAACAGACTGAAATGATCAGGGATCCTTTTGCAAATAAACTTGAATCAACCCACACTGATACATTCATCACAAGCTCTTTTGGAAGCTTAGATAAAAAGTTTTGAGTTGTTTTCATAATACAATACATTTGGCCCCTTTCAGGATAAGCATTCTGACATAAAATGTTTTTAAGACATTTTATGAATTTGAGTGCATTCATCCTAACCTTGAAAAAGATGGTCTGGACTTTCCCACAGTCCTTTCCGGTTTCTTCGTCCACAGAAGAAAAGAGGATGTCTTTGGAGGGAACACGGGCATATGCAATGCGTTTGTTGTTGCTTATCATCCATATGTAAATATCTGGAACACTATGCTGAGGCTATGATGAAAAACAAAAGGATTTACATGAATATTTTTACAGTGATATTAACTCATCTATATGGCCTCATAACCTAGCATATTTTTTTATCAGCTTTTGTGCACTACCTCATCAGACAAGAATCTCAGCTTGTGGAGGAAGTTTTGTGCCAGTTTTATTTTGTCTTTCACATTGCTTTTCTTTACTTGGGATCGCATATTCTTTGCTTGCTGGCCCATGTTTTCCTGAAAAAAAATTACAACAAGCTTTACAACAGACATAAAAATAGGCCACCAGAATCAGATTTTAACATTAGTTACTATTAATATGCATTAGTAACAGCTGCTTTTACCAATTCCTGCATGCATAATTTCAGTCTCTCCCGGTCCAGTTTAGTCTTCCCAGCCTGATTCTGATCATTGTTTGCCAAAGTTACAAAGGTACTGAAAGAGATTCACTGTTATTTTATCTTTCCTCTGTCATAGATGGTTGAATGAAGATTTGTGAAAATATAAAAAGTCGCTCTCAGGAAACAAATTTTCAGGATTTTTTTTTGTTTTCACTTTATTTAAAATGTTACTTATGAATTATCAAGAAATCATGCTTTACTAACTACCACATACACTACCAGTCAAGTGGTTATTTGAAAAATGCTTACTGAACCTCCAAATGGAGCACAAATAGCACTGTTTCCAGAGAACCACTCATAACGGTCTCAAGATTTGCAGAAATATACATGTATACAAACCTGCAGCCACTGCTGAGTTCCTCCAGGACTCCTCTGAGTCTGCGCTCAGGATAGGCTTTCTCTGTTTTAATGATCTCCTGCACATCATTCAACCCTTCTTCCTATAAAATGATAGAGAATACAGGTTGCAATGTCAATGTATTGATGTATTTTCACAGATTAACCCTCTGGGGTCGACAAACGCGCCGGCGAGTTTTGTGGCATTTTTTCTTAAAACCCCTAAAGGCACTTAAATTACTACGTCATTTTTGATCGTAGAGATAAGAGCAAAATATCAATTGAATCTCTAAAGGATCTACTTTCATTTGTATACACACATAATAACAACAAAACTTTGTGCTTTTGTAAAATAAAGAAAACAAACAGGGTGCGCCATCTGCCGCATTGGTCTCCGTGATCTTCATTTAGAAACGCGTCACTAAAATTAACTGAAACTCGGAGAATACTCGACACAAAGACATGCGAGATATATCTAGAGAAAGCTTGACATGTCTACTTTTAAAAGCAGTAACTCTTATCGAAAACAAATATTCTCTGGTAAAGTAATCCATATGAAACCAACATGATGTCCAGTCTTTCCCGTCTGACTTCATTATAGTTAATTTGATCACGCCCATGAGCTACTTTCGCTTTTGATATTACACTAGTCCACGTGAGACGCGCGGCATGTAAATGCCCACATCACAGCAAACAAAGCAGCAAGACTTTTCTTCAAGTTCATCTCGGCTACTGTTCATTTCTGGAAAAAGATGCGCTGAAGAAGGCCGAAGAAAGTGAGAGAAGGCCGGTCACTCACTGTCAAGCAGTTTCAAAAACTGCTGGGTCTGATGGCAGCTGCGCCCAACGTGATACCTTTTGGCCGGCTGTACATGAGACCCCTACAGTGGTGGCTCAAGACCTAGGGGTTTTCCCCAAGGGGCAACCCACTTCGCATGATCAAGGTCACGCAGCAATGCCTACGTGCCTTATACATGTGGAGGAAACCTTGGTTTCTAGTCTCAGGGCCCGGTGCTGGGAGCTCTTTGTCATCACGTAACGCTAACGACGGATGCGTCCCTCACTGGTTGGGGAGCAATCATGAGTGGCCTGGTCTGTGGAGTGGTCGCCATGTCACATGGCACATCAACTGCCTGGAGATGCTGGCTATGTTTTTAGCGTTGAAACACTTCCTCCCGGAGTGGGAGCTCTTTGTCATCACGTAACGCTAACGACGGATGCGTCCCTCACTGGTTGGGGAGCAATCATGAGTGGCCTGGTCTGTGGAGTGGTCGCCATGTCACATGGCACATCAACTGCCTGGAGATCCTGGCTATTTTTTTAGCGTTGAAACACTTCCTCCCGGACCTAAGAGGCCACCATGTGTTGGTGCGCACTGACAACACAGCGGTGGTCTCTTACATCAACCACCAGGGAGGTCTACGTTTGCTACCCCTTTACAGGCTGGCGTACCAGATCCTTGTGTGGGCCCAAGGGAGACTCCTCTTGCTGAGATCAGTGTACATCCCTGGGCATCTCAATCAGGGAGCAGACATCCTGTCGAGGCCTGATCTCCCCTCTCCCTTGGGGGTCAAGGCTCACTCGTCCAGAAGTTGGCCTTCAGGATGCTGCGGGATGTCCACTCCGTTTACTTGTCAGGTTCTATACCTGCATTTTGTGCCACTCCTGGCTCCTTTCTCTCACCTTAGCTGTGCTCTTCCACACTAGGCAGGGACTTGCAAGTCTGCCGGCGTGGGCATATTCGTTCCCAAAGCGTTTCGACGCAGCTTGAGTTTCTGAAGGGGAACGTCTCTAGGTTATGCATGTAACCATGGTTCCCCGAGGGAATGAGACGCTGTGTCTCATTGCCATACTTCCGGCATCCCTGCGAGCGCTTCCCTCATTCTACCCAAAGCTGCTGCTGAATCCACCGCATGTGCTTATAAGCTTCCTGGTCTCTACATCACCCATCCGTGACGTCACTCCCATCCATTGGACTGATTACACACGTGATTCAGAGCGTGGTCACACTGAAGGCGTTCCCAAAGCATTTCAACGCAGTGTCTCATTCCCTCAGGGAACCATGGTTCCTTATCTGTCGGTCACTACGAGTTATGTCGAACGACATATGGGGTCTCACTTGGGAGGCCAATCATCTCTGAGTTTAAGAGAAAACACCAATGAAAATTGGCTAGTGGATTTTGCATGCTGAGCCACTCCCCGTGCCTACGGGTATATAAGGCGACAGCGCGCATCCACTCATTAGATTTTTGCTTCGGAGCCGGGTGGTTGAATGAAAAGCTGTTATACTCCACAAAGCCATTCATCTGCTGTGTGTCGGGAAGCTATTCTGGTTGGCGGTACAGCGTGAACAGCGGTGTCCCTTTCAGCAATTCCCCTGGGCATTTCAACTAAAAGAGCAGACTTCCTAAAAGAGCAAATCACGGACGATTCACGTCTTTTTAAAGATGCTGTTTCGTCCGTGTCCTTCTGGATGCGGTCGTTTCCTGTCCTCTGACAACAGTCACGAGCGTTGTCTTCCGTGTCTGGGCATTCAGCACGCTGAAGACGCGTTCGTGGATGGTTCATGCCCACACTGCGAGTGCGTGACCATGGCAATGCTGCGATCGCGTCTCTCTGCTCTTAAAGTGAAAGGAACAGACCCCTCTGTCCCTACCCGTCCCGGTTTCTCTGCCACGAGCAGAGGACCACCGGTTAGTGCTCTGGGAGATTTGAGGGTGACAGTGAGAGCTTATCCGCCAGGCCATGCCCCACGGACCTCTCACCCCTTCCGCAGCGCTTGTCCTGTGCGGCTGATGAGTGATTCTGCTGGGCTGTCTTATGGTGGTCCCAGCATGTCATTCGGTGTGCCGCCTGGGGATCAGATGTTGATTGCAGCATCGGGGGATGGGCTGTTGACCTCTGATGATGAAGATTCAGCGGGGCTGCCCCCCTCGGGTGTTGTCGCTACTGCCGAATCGGACCCAGAGTTGACAGCCATGCTTGCCCAGGCAGCTGTGAACATCAGGCTGGAGGTGAATACACCGCCCAGCCCTGAGCGCTCGCGGCTGGATTATTGGTTTCTCAGTGTGGAGCGTGGCTCACATGAGGAAGTGATGTAGTCGTAGACGGCCCCTTTTATGGCCAGAAGCCGCTCGTCTCCTTCCTCCGTCCTCACTACCCTCAATGGCGGGGCGGCTAGGGGGTGCGTCAACATTCCCCAGGTGGAGAGAGCGATTGCGGTGCACCTGTGCCTGCAAAACACAGCCGAACGGACAACAATGCGGCTGTTTCGCACATCAACCGTCAGGGCGGTCTACGATCACGTCGAATGTCTCAACTCGCCCGCCATCTCCTCCTCTGGAGTCAGACGTGGCTCAAATTGCTGGGCACCATATGGCACCTGCGTCCAGTTCTCTGGAACCTCCATGCGTGGCTTCTGGACGGGACGCGGCAGACCTAGTGACCTACCGCCAGCGGTGGTAGACACTATCAGTCAGGCTAGAGCTCCCTTTACGAGGCCTGCCTATGCTTTGAAGTGGAGTCTGTTCACGATTTGGTGTTCTTCTCACCGAGAAGACCCCCGGAGATGCTCGATTAGAGTCGTGCTTTCTTTCCTTCAAGAAAGGTTGGAGCATAGGCTTTCACCCTCCACCTTGAAAGTGTATGTCGCTGCTATCGCAGCACATTACAATGCAGTGGACGGCCGGTCCCTGGGAAAGCATGACCTGATCGTTAGGTTCTTGAGGGGTGCCAGAAGGTTGAATCCTTCTAGGACACTCTTGATATCCTCCTGGGATCTCTCTATTGTCCTGGCTGGACTTCAGAGGGGTCCCTTTGAGCCGCTTCAGTTGAGCTAAAGTTCCTGTCTCTTAAGACAGCGCTCCTGGTTGCACTCACTTCCATCAAGAGGGTCGGGGACCTCCAAGCATTTTTGGTAAGTGAAGAGTGCCTTGTGTTCGGGCCGGCCTACTCTCACGTTATCCTGAGACCCCGGCCTGGATATGTGCCCAAGGTTCCCACCACTCCCTTCCGAGATCAGGGGGTGAACCTGCAAGCGCTGCCCCCAGAGGAGGCAGATCCAGCCTTGGCATTGCTGTGTCCCGTAAGAGCATTATGCATATATGTGGACCGCACCCAGAGTTTCAGAAGCTCTGAGCAGCTCCTTGTCTGCTTTGGAGGCCAGCAGAAAGGGAAGGTTGTCTCCAAGCAGAGGTTGGCCCACTGGAAAGTGGATGCCATCGCTTTGGCGTACCAATCCCAAGGCAAGCCGTGCATCCTAGGGGTGAGAGCCCACTCCACTCGGAGTGTTGCCTCCTCTTGGGTGCTGTCTGCTCTCTGGCAGACATCTGTCGAGCTGCGGGCTGGGTGACACTTAACACCTTTGCGAGGTTTTACAACCTTCACATAGAGCCGGTTTCTTCCCATGTGTTGGGTAACAGGTAATTGGCGGGAAGAACTGGCTCGGTGTCACGCTTGCTGCGCCGTTCCTCCTTACATGGGGATGCGAGCGTCTTTCTTCTCCCAGCAGAGTTCCCCGGTTGGCGAACCCTGGTCGAGCATCCTCCAGCACCCTCGGCAGTCAGACTTGGCGGAGCAGTCTGACGCCAGGCCCAGTACTGGTGTTAGCATGCCCGGAGTCCCGGTCAGCTAGGTGTCCAAATGGCTTGATTCCCTACGGTTAATCCCGTATGTGTAGTCTTCCACGGTAAGGTTTCCCTCTCGGTAAACCCGTGTCTTCCCTCGACAGACCTGCTCTGTCAGTCTCTTCTGGCAGTTGTTCCATTCCTATTCTAAGGTAGGACCTGCCTCAGAGACCCATTCCATATGTAGTACTGCCCCCTGGGTCAGTCCATATCAGTATCTCCACATGTCACCTCCCTACGGGTAGGATGTGGTCTCCGTAGCGACAATTTTGCAATTGTTTTGTCAACAATTGCAGCGCCACAGCGTTGTGACGGTGTTCAGGTTGTGGCGTTTTCCATGGCCCCCATATGTCGTTCGACATAACTCGTAGTGACAGACAGATAGGGAATGTCTCGGTTATGTACGTAACCCTCGTTCCCTGATGGAGGGAACGGAGACGTTATGTCCCCATGCCACAACCTTGAACTATTCGCTGTTGCCGGGACACGTTCTCGGCTCCTCAGCGTAAAACCTGATGAGTGGATGCGCGCTGTCGCCTTATATACCCATAGGCACGGGGAGTGGCTCACCATGCAAAATCCACTAGCCAATTTTCATTGGCGTTAGCCCAGTTTGTGCTGAATACAGTGTTATCAGACTTTAGCCATTAATATGTTTTTAAGATACTGAAACCCCCGCCCCCCCACAAATGTCAGGGCATGTCAAAACTTATTCAGTGCCCCCAAACCCCCTCAGACCCCAGAGGGTTAACTGGAACCAGGATTGTTATCGATCACTGAATGGAAACTATGATGAAAAATGGGATTTAAGGTGAGACACTATAGACAAAACCCTTGTTTTTTCATGCACTGGTCAATTTTGAGGTTTTGGGCTAATTTCCTTCCATAATTTGACTTCTTTCTGACTAGTGAAAAGAAAGCATCCAAAATAGTCACTTTTAGGATTTTTCAGTTTTTCAGTATTTCAGAAACTAACTAATATAATCTATATTCATTGATTTATTACCAATTTATCTGCAATTCTGTCCATGATGTTAGCATTATAAAGTCGTCTCCTTTGGTCCTGCCACCAGCTCTTGATATAGATGCAGGGCTTCCTCTCAAAGTACGGGAGGTGGAAATAGTTTCTGCAGACAAATAAACCGGATATGATACATGAATTTGCACCAAAATGCAAAATAACATAAATAAATGAGTTTTAGGTCAGTACATGTTGAGTAACTCAACCTGTCAGTGATGACTGGCTTCATTGGAGGAGTGCTGGAAACTGAGGTCATATCTCCACCATCATCCACCTCCTCGTCACTAGAGCCGTGAATGAGCTCAGACTCCTCGTCATCGCCACCCTTCCTCTTCTTTGTTTTTGGCTTGGTTGGGGTATCGACTTCACTGCCGTAGTTTCCTTGATTTGAGAGGATAGTTTAATGAGGTATCTTTAAGTAGGAATTACTTTCATAGAAGTGAAGTGCATCATTTCTGTGCACTGTAAAATATAATGTTTTGAATTTGTAAGATAAAATAAAGATTATTGGAGTATGTTTTACAAGAAAATACTATTTCAGTCTTTCAAGCCAAAATCCATATTGGCACTTCCTCCAGTGAAAATGTACATCTCCTGTTGCCTCTCACATCAAAATCCACACACATATTTGTTTAGAGCTGTCTTGGACTGTAAATGGTGCATGATCTGCGCATATTTCTCTCCTGATTCAGACCAGACCACTTTTTCACTGGAGGAAGAGTTATTATGGATTATGGTATTTTAGCCAGAAGCAACGGTTTGAAGTTAAAAGCAGATTTGTTTCTTACAAACATGCAGCTTTTGTCTTCACAAGCCATTAATTGATGGACTGGAGTGGTGTGTATAATTTTTGGATTATTGTGATGCTTTTATCAGCTGTTTGGACTCTCATTCTGACGGCACCCATTCACTGCAAATGATCCATTGGTGATCAAGTAATGTGATGCTACATTTCGCCAAATCTGTTTCCATGAAACAACCAAACTCATCTACAGTATATCTTGGATGGACTGAGGGTGAGCACATTTTCAGCATTTATTTTTATTTTTGGGTCAACTATTCCTTTAAAGCCAGTTAATGGTCCTTTCATGTAAAAGTTAGAGGGGTTTGCATTTGAATGAGTTTGAATTCATATTGAATAACATAAGAAGGCTGAATTGGTGAAATGGCATTTGAAACACTGTTTAGTAATATCATCTACTGTAGCGTTTCAGGAATTTGCCCATATACATTGTGTATATATCGAACTGGTGTCATTCATACTAAAAAATGAAAATGTATTATTAAAAAGTACACTCACAGCAGTAATATAAATCTATTTGAAAGTTTGAAAGAATTCAGTAGCATTCTGAATGGTGAGAATTGTAGCATTCTCAATTTAAAGACTGATAACTACCATAGATTTTACCTATTGTAACCTCAAAGTTGATGGGTTTGTCTCCAATCTTCCTGTCAATCATAGTGGCTTCAAGGAAACATCCAAAGAGAAAGAACTCTTCAATTTTTCCCGTGGCATTCTAGATATAAGCAACAAACAATTGATTAAATAATGTTTTGTGAATACACTTTGTTGTAAATAAAAAGGTTTTCAGAGTACGTTTTACAAGAAAATATCACTTCAGTCTATCTACTTTAAAATTTCATGTTAATCCAATGCACTACTTGCCATTTCTTTGTAATTAATCGTGACATTTACTAGCAATTTCTGATTGAGATTTGTTTTTGCACCATTTTTTTTTTCAGTGTATGAGGGTTTTCCTAAGATTAGACAAAAATGATGTCACTGTGCTCATAAACAATTCAAAACAGTTCTGTTTTCTCAAACTGATTAATTTTTAACAGCAAGTAATGAAGCCTAATTTAGGCTCTGACTGTGTAGATGATTGTCTTGCAGACAAAGAACTACTATGAGTATTGTTGCTAAATGAATAATGTAGGGAGATAAATAAAGACAATTAATTATTCACTGTAATTGGCCTGTCGAACCCCCCCGTCTATGGATCGCTTACATCTGAGATGTTGGGTATCCCCTCCACTTGCACCTCAGTGGAGCTCATTACTTCAGGAGAGGAGGTGTCCAGTATCTCCACGGCCAGACTGATCAGCAGCCGGGCCCTGAAAGACACCCCTTCCCCTAGTCCTTCATTCAGGTCCTGGTACTCGTCCATGAGTGTGTAGCTGCGTGTGGAGCCGTACATGTTGGACCAAGCCGGCCCAAGAGTTGGAAGAAAGCCTGTCAATAGAAACAGGATCATTTTTAATCTTTGACCTTTTGATCAATATCATTCCATGACTTTTATAGTTGTTCGTAATTACCGGATAAGGATTTTTACAAATGTTTCTATAATGATCTTGAACAGCAATGTAGTGACGGCTTTGTGTGATTGAGTATTCAAAGCAAAATGTAATAAACAACAAGAAACAAAGTAAATACACTACTGGTCAAACATTTGGAATAAGAAATTATTTTTGTGTGTGTGTGTTTTTGAAGGAAGTTTGCATTTATTTGATCTTAAATACAGCAAAACAGCAATATTGCGAAATATTATTAAAATTGAAAATAACTTTTCTATGTGAATATATTGTAAACTGTAATTTATTTCTGTGATGCGCAGCTGTATTTTCAGCATCATTACTCCAGTCTTCAGTGTCACATGATCTTCAGAAATCATTCTAATATACTGATTTACTGCTCAAAACACATGTATTATTATTATCAATGTTGAAAACAGTTGTGCTGCCCAATATTTTTGTAGAAACTGTGATTCACCATTTAAAAGTTTAGGGTAAGCAAAAAAAAAAAATTTTAAATCTTTTATTTTGCAAGGACACATTAAATTAATCAAAAGTGACAGTAAAAATGCTGATTCTATTCATCAAAGTATCTTATCTATTCGGCAGCACAACTGTTTTCAGCATTGATAATAATCAGAAATTTTTATTGAGCAGCAAATCAAATCAGCATATTAGAATGATTTCTGAAGGATTATGTGACACTGCAAATAAAAAACAATTATTTTAAATTGTAATAATATTTAACACAATTACTGTTTTACTGTATTGTTATCAAATAAATGCCTGGCTGAGCATAAGAAACATAAAAAATAAATCATAATTATTCCCAACTTCTGCATGGTAGTATAGTACTTTTGCAGACTTTGCCAAGGTGTTCAGGAAGCCCTGTTACCTTTGTCTCCATCATTAGCAATCTTCCGCAGGTCAATGAAGTGCGTTCCGATGGCCACATCGTTCACTTTATCCGAATCACGGATCTGGACTTTCATTCTCCGGCACAGTGGTGGAAACTGCTCTGTGAAAACGATCTGCTCATTCCAAATCGGCTCATAGCTGCTCTTCTGAATTGAAGTTTTACCCTGCATTGTGGACAGATGAAATAGATCAGTGGATCAAAAATATTGATGCCTCCCCTTCTGAAACAGAAGCACACTTTAGCATACTTTTAAAAGGACCTCTTAATAAGGAAATCATATACATTAAAAGAATATACTTAAGGTGTGAACTGAATGTACATATTATTGTAGCCCAGTTTGTGCTGAATACAGTGTTATCAGACTTTAGCCATTAATATGTTTTTAAGATACTGAAACCCCCGCCCCCCCACAAATGTCAGGGCATGTCAAAACTTATTCAGTGCCCCCAAACCCCCTCAGACCCCAGAGGGTTAACTGGAACCAGGATTGTTATCGATCACTGAATGGAAACTATGATGAAAAATGGGATTTAAGGTGAGACACTATAGACAAAACCCTTGTTTTTTCATGCACTGGTCAATTTTGAGGTTTTGGGCTAATTTCCTTCCATAATTTGACTTCTTTCTGACTAGTGAAAAGAAAGCATCCAAAATAGTCACTTTTAGGATTTTTCAGTTTTTCAGTATTTCAGAAACTAACTAATATAATCTATATTCATTGATTTATTACCAATTTATCTGCAATTCTGTCCATGATGTTAGCATTATAAAGTCGTCTCCTTTGGTCCTGCCACCAGCTCTTGATATAGATGCAGGGCTTCCTCTCAAAGTACGGCAGGTGGAAATAGTTTCTGCAGAAAATTAAACAGACATTTCAGATGATTTTGCACCAAAATGCAAAATAAAATAAATAAATGGGTTTTGGGTCATGTTGAGTAACTGAACCTGTCAGTGATGACTGGCTTCATTGGAGGAGAGGTGGAAACTGATGTCATATCTCCACCATCATCCACCTCCTCGTCACTGGAGCCGTAAATGAGCTCAGACTCCTCATCATCTCCATCGCCACCCTTCTTCTTCTTTGTTTTTGGCTTGGTTGGGGTATCGACTTCACTGCCGTAGTTTCCTTGATTTGAGAGGATAGTTTAATGAGGTATCTTTAAGTAGGAATTACTTTCATAGAAGTGAAGTGTATCATTTCTGTGCACTGTAAAATATGATGTTTTGAATTTGTAAGATAAAATAAAGATTATTGGAGTATGTTTTACAAGAAAATACTATTTCAGTCTTTCAAGCCAAAATCCATATTGGCACTTCCTCCAGTGAAAATGTACATCTCCTGTTGCCTCTCACATCAAAATCCACACACATATTTGTTTAGAGCTGTCTTGGACTGTAAATGGTGCATGATCTGCGCATATTTCTCTCCTGATTCAGACCAGACCACTTTTTCACTGGAGGAAGAGTTATTATGGATTATGGTATTTTAGCCAGAAGCAACGGTTTGAAGTTAAAAGCAGATTTGTTTCTTACAAACATGCAGCTTTTGGCTTCACAAGCCATTAATTGATGGACTGGAGCGGTGTGTATAATTGTGATGTTTTTATCAGCTGTTTAGACTCTCATTCTGACGGCACCCATTCACTGCAAATGATCCATTGGTGATCAAGTAATGTGATGCTACATTTCGCCAAATCTGTTTCCATGAAACAACCAAACTCATCTACAGTATATCTTGGATGGACTGAGGGTGAGCACATTTTCAGCATTTATTTTTATTTTTGGGTCAACTATTCCTTTAAAGCCAGTTAATGGTACTTTCATGTAAAAGTTAGAGGGGTTTGCATTTGAATGAGTTTGAATTCATATTGAATAACATAAGAAGGCTGAATTGGTGAAATGGCATTTGAAACACTGTTTAGTAATATCATCTACTGTAGCGTTTCAGGAATTTGCCCATATACATTGTGTATATATCGAACTGGTGTCATTCATACTAAAAAATGAAAATGTATTATTAAAAAGTACACTCACAGCAGTAATATAAATCTATTTGAAAGTTTGAAAGAATTCAGTAGCATTCTGAATGGTGAGAATGGTAGCATTCTCAATTTAAAGACTGATAACTACCATAGATTTTACCTATTGTAACCTCAAAGTTGATGGGTTTGTCTCCAATCTTCCTGTCAATCATAGTGGCTTCAAGGAAACATCCAAAGAGAAAGAACTCTTCAATTTTTCCCGTGGCATTCTAGATATAAGCAACAAACAATTGATTAAATAATGTTTTGTGAATACACTTTGTTGTAAATAAAAAGGTTTTCAGAGTACGTTTTACAAGAAAATATCACTTCAGTCTATCTACTTTAAAATTTCATGTTAATCCAATGCACTACTTGCCATTTCTTTGTAATTAATCGTGACATTTACTAGCAATTTCTGATTGAGATTTGTTTTTGCACCATTTTTTTTTTCAGTGTATGAGGGTTTTCCTAAGATTAGACAAAAATGATGTCACTGTGCTCATAAACAATTCAAAACAGTTCTGTTTTCTCAAACTGATTAATTTTTAACAGCAAGTAATGAAGCCTAATTTAGGCTCTGACTGTGTAGATGATTGTCTTGCAGACAAAGAACTACTATGAGTATTGTTGCTAAATGAATAATGTAGGGAGATAAATAAAGACAATTAATTATTCACTGTAATTGGCCTGTCGAACCCCCCCGTCTATGGATCGCTTACATCTGAGATGTTGGGTATCCCCTCCACTTGCACCTCAGTGGAGCTCATTACTTCAGGAGAGGAGGTGTCCAGTATCTCCACGGCCAGACTGATCAGCAGCCGGGCCCTGAAAGACACCCCTTCCCCTAGTCCTTCATTCAGGTCCTGGTACTCGTCCATGAGTGTGTAGCTGCGTGTGGAGCCGTACATGTTGGACCAAGCCGGCCCAAGAGTTGGAAGAAAGCCTGTCAATAGAAACAGGATCATTTTTAATCTTTGACCTTTTGATCAATATCATTCCATGACTTTTATAGTTGTTCGTAATTACCGGATAAGGATTTTTACAAATGTTTCTATAATGATCTTGAACAGCAATGTAGTGACGGCTTTGTGTGATTGAGTATTCAAAGCAAAATGTAATAAACAACAAGAAACAAAGTAAATACACTACTGGTCAAACATTTGGAATAAGAAATTATTTTTGTGTGTGTGTGTTTTTGAAGGAAGTTTGCATTTATTTGATCTTAAATACAGCAAAACAGCAATATTGCGAAATATTATTAAAATTGAAAATAACTTTTCTATGTGAATATATTGTAAACTGTAATTTATTTCTGTGATGCGCAGCTGTATTTTCAGCATCATTACTCCAGTCTTCAGTGTCACATGATCTTCAGAAATCATTCTAATATACTGATTTACTGCTCAAAACACATGTATTATTATTATCAATGTTGAAAACAGTTGTGCTGCCCAATATTTTTGTAGAAACTGTGATTCACCATTTAAAAGTTTAGGGTAAGCAAAAAAAAAAAAAAGACTTTTATTTTGCAAGGACACATTAAATTAATCAAAAGTGACAGTAAAAATGCTGATTCTATTCATCAAAGTATCTTATCTATTCGGCAGCACAACTGTTTTCAGCATTGATAATAATCAGAAATTTTTATTGAGCAGCAAATCAAATCAGCATATTAGAATGATTTCTGAAGGATTATGTGACACTGCAAATAAAAAAACAATTATTTTAAATTGTAATAATATTTAACACAATTACTGTTTTACTGTATTGTTATCAAATAAATGCCTGGCTGAGCATAAGAAACATAAAAAATAAATCATAATTATTCCCAACTTCTGCATGGTAGTATAGTACTTTTGCAGACTTTGCCAAGGTGTTCAGGAAGCCCTGTTACCTTTGTCTCCATCATTAGCAATCTTCCGCAGGTCAATGAAGTGCGTTCCGATGGCCACATCGTTCACTTTATCCGAATCACGGATCTGGACTTTCATTCTCCGGCACAGTGGTGGAAACTGCTCTGTGAAAACGATCTGCTCATTCCAAATCGGCTCATAGCTGCTCTTCTGAATTGAAGTTTTACCCTGCATTGTGGACAGATGAAATAGATCAGTGGATCAAAAATATTGATGCCTCCCCTTCTGAAACAGAAGCACACTTTAGCATACTTTTAAAAGGACCTCTTAATAAGGAAATCATATACATTAAAAGAATATACTTAAGGTGTGAACTGAATGTAATGTTTTCGGACAATATAATTGTTATTTACAATTATATGAAAAAGTGTAATAATTTTAAATTTATATTTAATGCAATTAGTTGAACTTTAGAGTGCTTTTTTTTAGTCAACAGAAGCACACTTTAGCATACTTTTAAAAGGACCTCTTAATAAGGAAATCATATACATTAAAAGAATATACTTAAGGTGTGAACTGAATGTAATGTTTTCGGACAATATAATTGTTATTTACAATTATATGAAAAAGTGTAATCATTTTAAATTTATATTAAATGCAATTAGTTGAACTTTAGAGTGCTTTTTTTTAGTCAAAAGGTAAGATACAGGCTGTAGTTAAATATTTAAAGGGATAGTTCACCCAAAAATGAAAATGTGATGTTTATCTGCTTAACCCCAGGGCATCCAAGATGTAGATGACTTTGTTTCTTCAGTAGAACACAAATTATGATTTTTAAGTCCAGCCGTT